GTTTATCTAATTCTGGTCTACAATAAATAAATATAAAAAAATATAAAATAGAAAAACAGAAATAATCTGAATAATAGATTAATATTTTATTTTAATTCCTATATAAGATATTAAAAAATACACAAAATCTTTGAAGCATCAATTTTAAATATCAAAACAAATATAAAAATTTTATATAAAAATATCAACTTATATATCATTTATATAAAATTTTTTTTCATATTATTATTTTTATTATATTTCCATATAATGTATTATATATTATATATTATATTATATAATATATTATAATATAATATAATATAATATAATATATATTATTATATAATATATAATATATTATATATTATATAATAATCACAATATGTATGTTTTTTTCAATGGACATATGTGATATCAATATGATCAAAAATATATTATGAAAATTAAATTTCGATTCATGCAATTTTTATCGAAAATTGAAGTAATAAATATTAAGTGCAAATAAAATAAAAAAAAATTAATTGCTAATATTTGCTAAATATTTAATTATTTAAATTATTACTTATTATGGATATCAAATAAATATATTACTGAAATATATATACTAATTATATCAACAAGAAAAATTAATGATTATTAAAAATTAATAAAATTGAAATTATATATTGTTGAATTATATGTTGAATTTTATAATATATTATAATTTATTATTTGTTATATATTTTATAATATGAAGTTACATAGAATTTATTGCAGCTTATTTAAAATAAGCTTTTGTTAAATTGTATAATTAAATAAATTATATAATAAAATATATTTAAAATTTTATGAAATTTTAAGCATTTATGTTTTAATACATTAAATTGTATATTTAAAATAACAACTATATTGTTGAATTATATGTAAATTAACTATAACTTTTTGTTAAAAAAAGCTTTGCAAATCATTGCTTGTCTAATCTATGAACCTTCTTTGTCATTCAATTCATTAAATCTGCTAATAATCAATAATTTGCTTACATACAGACATTTTTAATGCAAAATTAAAATATTTATAATTTGAAAAAAAAATTATAATTGAAATTTTTAAATTTATTTGAATATTATTTTGATATTTAAAATTAATCTTTTAAAAGTATTCTATAATTATATGATATTCTATATAACAATATAAAAATTTATAGTGAAAAATAATATTATTTACTCTAATAAATGCATAAGATATTGAATGAAATTTCCTTCTCCTAATAAAAGATAACCTTTAATTGCATGTAAATGTTCCATGAGATGATACTGTTTTGTTAAAATTTCTACTACTCTGGTTGAAGTTTCTTTATAAGCTGTGTCCATCATGGTTTGTAATCGACCATCAGGATCCATATCAAAAAGAACATCAACTAAAAAATATTTAAGATAGAAAATTTAATTCTTTAGAAAAAATTAATTGCTAAAAAATCACAATATATAATATAATCACAATAGCTATAAATTAAAAAATAATTATAGATTTATTTGTTATAATATAATATAATATTTACATATAAATATATATTTTGTTTGATTCTGTTTACAAGATATAGTAATCTTATGTTAAAGAATTATTTAATTATTAAATTAAATTACCTTTATATTCTTCACTAAAATTTTCAAACATTTTTGTATGTTTTCCTTGCCATGGAGTAAAATCTTTGCATACTTCACGCAGAAAATTAATACTCTTTCCCGTTCCTAAAATTTTTTTAGCTTGTATTTTTGTAATAAAAGATGGTAACATATTGTTGCGAACTTGATATTTCTCATGCCACATTCTATCTCCAGTAATATCAGCACAAGCTTCAATGAAAAATTCTCTATATGGATCATCTAATTCACCATCTGCCATCCATCTTATCAACATATTATACAATGGATTGCAAACACTTTGTAAAATCCTTTTAACTAATTTTTTCACGTTAGTATCACCATGATTACTAAATTCATACACTGCAGAAGCTAATGCACCACCTTTTTGTCCTTGGCAAGCTTTTACTATGCTTGCTAGCCATTTTAAAATTTCTAAAGGATCATATACCCAAAGATGTAAATGGGATAATGTAACTCTGTATAATCCTGATTCAGACTGAGCTCTATTATATATTCAGACATATTACCATTTATAACAAATTTGTAAAATATTATGTTTATATTTATATTAATACCTGTTTACTTCTTCTTGAATAAGCGCAATAACCCTATAATATTCAGACAATTCAGAATGTAATGCTGCAACAAAGCTATCAGCTACTTGACCACTTGAAGCAACTGACATTCTTTCTAAACCTTTTTGTATTATATTATGCAAATATCCAAGTTCACTTAATCTCAAAGTTGCTTGCTTTCGTGGTCTATCAATGCTAATAATTGGATCTATTTGGAAGCCATAATTAGAATCTAACTTTAATATTTTTCCTTCTATACCTAAGAAAGAATATATAAGATCTTGAATCAATACATCTTCTGAAATATATTCTTCTCCATATATTTTATTAGAACTTAAAAAATCTCTTGTATTCTTGTTTGCACTATTTATAGATACAATTTGTGGTGATGCAGAAATTTCAGATGATTGTCCTAAATAAGAAAATATATTGAATATTAAATATTAAAATTTATATATATATATATATATATATATATAAAACTTATATATTGTAAAAAAATTCAAAAAAATTAAAAAATAACAAAAAATTAAATTATAAAACATATTGCTTACCACTAGTGGATGCAGATGATGAAGATAAACCTAATTTTAATTCAGGTGCTGAAAAGACTCTACCCCTTAATTGTTCTGCTGAATTACACATGTTTAACAAGAATATCAGAATTTGTGTCCTGTTCTTTAATGGCTAAGTAACAGATGACCATATATATAAATAATTATTATAATATATGATATAATATAACATATTATATCAACAATATATATATTCAACAATATAATATATATATATATATAACAATATAACAACAATATAATAATATATATATAACAATATAATATATTCAAACTATGAATGTTTTTTAAATTTAAATTTAATATTTTAGGATTCTATTTATTGAATATTATCAAAAAATTACTTAAAAATTTTTTTATCTAAATTTTTTTTTATTTTAAAACAAAATTTAGTTGAATAATGTTTGTTCCCTAAATGTATATATACTTAATTAAGATCATTAATTGATCATCAATTAAGATAATTAATTAATATATTCATTTTATGAAATATAAATTTTATAAATTTAAAAATTAAATCTATATCATACCCCAGATTTTAATTCATTATATAATTTGTCAAACTGTGTTGCATCACATATTGATAATTTTTCTCTTATTTGATTTCCTATACTAATTTCATCCTCTTGTAATGTTTCTATTCCTTGAGTTGATGATAATAATCCAAGAGAAAAACGCATCCATTTTCTAATTATTTCTGAAATCATAATTTAATATAAAAAAAGACTTTTTTCAAATTGAAAATATAATTGATATATACAATATATACAAAATATATAAAATTCAATTTTAATTTCTAAATATGAATTATTCATAAACTATTCATTATGAAATATTTCTAATTTTTTTAATAAAATATAATTCATAAATGAAAATTATAAATGTTTCATTTACAATTATTATTTAACAAAATGCTTTTTTAACATAAACGAACATATAGAAAAATTAAATTTTACCTGGCTTTTGTTCTCCACAAAGCGAAATAATCATTTTTTGGACGAGATTACCAACAGTTTCAGCCTCCATCATGTTTATTTTTAATATATATTTTTATTTTAATTATATTTAATATTAGTTTATTTAAATAAAGATTATATATAAACTCAAGTTATCGCCATTCGTGCAACTAATTTACGGTATACGCATTAGTTTGTTATTGTTATATCATATGAACTTAGTGTTGTGTATTTGCTTCACATCATATATCGTAAAGTTAGTTACAATTTAGTATTTCTAATTTAAATTGGAGATAATTCCAATGTAACCTGTTCATCATATTCATAATTTTTATAATACAATTATATCTTGAAATATGAAAATGTGTTTTCAATTAATTCTACATTTATTATAAAAATTATTGAATTCTTACTGAAATTAATTAAATTCTATCATTTAAGTATACTTAAATTTAATAGTTAAAAAAAGACTATTGTTATACTACACTTTAGGGATTTTTTAAATTTTTTTTTTCAATTTTTCTATCTCAATTTTAATTATTGATTCCTTTTTACTTTTTTTAAAAACTTTATTTTATCATTAAAAAAAGAAATTATAAAATCAAGATAAAAATATTATATTGAATTTATAATAATTCAAAATCGTTATGCGCGTCATCAGTTTTTATATCCTATTAAATCTAATTTATTTCTTATTTTTTCATATTATTATTTCTTACATATGTTTTCCTATTTTTAATAAATTACAATTCTGATTGGTCTTAAATATTATTCATATTTAAGCGATTTTTTAATATATTTATTAATTATATATAAATTTTCATTTAATTTATGTTGAATCAAGAATTGAGAAAATTATATAACATAAATATATATATATAAAATATAATAATAAATATATAATAATAAACTTTTCTTTTCAAATATAAACATTTTTAACTTAAATTGGAGATATATTTGTAATTGTATATTTATATTAAATATATTTAAATAATTATATTAAAATATAGTAACATAATATTATATTAATATAATATAACAATATAATATAACAAAAATATTTTCACAAATAAAAATTATAAATTCATCATTATTATTATAAAAATTTGAAATAAAATAACAAGATTAAATTGTATAATTTGACATGTTTATATTTAATATTTAATAATTATTTTTTAACTTACACTTGATAAAAATATCAAGTTTCATTATTTCATTATTATCATTATTAATAATTTAAAAATATGTTGTATTTATTAATCATTAATTTATATAATAAATTAATATTTATTAATTTAACAAATATAATTTATTTAACTTTATAAATTTTGTACATAATAAACATAAGCTTTAGAATTCACAATGTGCATTTCTTCTTCATAAGCAACTACACAAGTTTTTGATACTAACTGTTCTTTCATTCTTTTATAACAATTCCATTGACAATATTCAGAAAACTTTCTAAACTTGATATGTAATTCTTTTTTACCTCCATCAGGTCCTGCAATAAACTCACATTTGAGTTTTTTTTTTTTATCTCGTATACAACATTCTAAATACCTAAAAATCAATTTATTTTTTAAATTAAATTAATAAAAGAAAAATGAAATTATAAAAATATTTATAAATTAAATAAAATTATAAATAATATAAAAATTATTTATAATAATTTACTATAATAAAAAAAACTTAATAAGAATGATGAAAGAATTATGAAACTAAAAATATAATTCATTTAAATTTTTGCATTTATAAATTTTATTACATATAATTAATATAAATTATAAAACTCTAATCAATTTTAATAATTATTTAATAATAATGAAATGATTAAAATTATATATATTATATGAAAATAATCAATAATGATCAAATCATCTTTTTATAATAATTTATTACTAGGAAATATAAATTGTTTAAATTTTTTTAATTTTTATTTTAAAGTTTTAGTATAATATTATATTAAAATATAAAAAATCAATAATTTTAATGAATAATAAATTTTATAAAATATTTTACAATTTTTTTTATAGAAATAAGAAAAAATTATTTATAAATTACTAAAAGAGTAATTAAAAAAATTTGATATTGAAATTTTAATTTGAATAAATAAGGAATTTTATTATTTATATAAGAAAGGTTTATTATTTTATTCAATACAAATTAAATATTTTAAGAGGAGATAAAACTTATAACTTAAATAATTATTTTAGTAATTATTTAGTAATTATTTAGTAATATATAATTACCTATAATCTGTTGCATAAAAGCTATTTAATTCTTTAAGTTTAATATCACATTTTTGTCTTAAAATTCCACTAACAAATACATCATCTATCCAAAAAAAATTCTTAAATTTTTCACTTGTATTAACTAATAATTGTGCAACTTTTAAATTGGTTATATAAAACCATCCTGAAAGAAAATCTGGATAAATTTCACCTGGAAAATCTTCTTTTGTAGCAAACCATTTATTATTTGATATTCGAATTGGTTTCATATTTTTTAAAATATATCCAGACATAGTATTTTCTTCTATTGTTTTTTCTTGTAAAAGTTTTAATATCTCAAAAATATCTAATACAATATCATTATCAGTTTTTATTAGAAAATTAGCTTTACAATTACTCGATGCCCATTTTAAACCCATCAAATGTTTTAATGTAAGATTTTTATAATTTTCCAAAAAATCTCCTTGCAACAAATCATTATACTTTTGTGATTCTTTTAATATATATTTCCACATTCTTTGTTCTTTAGGTCTTCCTAATAAAAAAACTCTTGTGACATTCAAACTTTTTAACATTTCATTTGGATATGCATATCGTAATGCTGTTCTATATGCAGCATCATTTGCAGAGGATGTGACAATCCAAATTATAAAGTTAATATCACATTTTGGTTTAATAATAAACTTTATAATTGAAGAAATATTTTCATTTGTGTCTTTTGCATTGTATAAATATTTTGTATTATTTTCAAGATCTGTTTTTAATAATATAGTCAAAAATAAAATAAATAAAGTACTAATACAAAATATTACAAAAATAAACCTTACTTTCATATTTCTAATAATTATTCATTATAATATATATTTTATTTAATTACAATAAAATATTTATAAATAATCATTTATATTCTCATATATTATTAATAATCATAATTATAATATTTTATTCAATATTTAATTAATAATTTTTAACTTTTTGTTTCTTTTTATTTTATATGATATGGATATTGTATAACAAATATTTTAATAATTGTGAATATTAATATTGATTTAATATTCATTTAGTTTAGGTTAGAATTTTCTTACTTGCATTTTATAATTTCAAAATTTTTCGATTTTAATTCTTATTTTCATTTAATATCTACTATTATTTTAATTTTATATTATAATTCAGCTCTAATTGTTAATGTCTTATGTTTCTCAAATTTCAATTTTGATATATATCCTATAATTATATCGTAAAACTTATTTTATGTAGAATTAAATTCGCACACGAATTCGATTTTTTCATAAGAAAGCATTTTGAATAAATTTTAACATCAAAGTAAAAGTTATAATTTAAAACATTTAAGTATATTAAGTATTGTTTGTAAATTTCAAGAAATCAGTATATAATATAGTAAATAAGATATTTTAATTCCTTAAATTAAATTTGTAATGTCTATTTTTGTAGCATGAAAATTTATTTTTTTTAATATTTAAATAATATTTTATGCTAAATCAAAAATGTTTTATTTTTTGATAATAATACATTATTATTTATATATTTTTATTAATTTATGAATATTTATAAATATAAATCAATCATAAAAATTAAAGCTGTATCAATATCTGAATATTTTTTTTAATAGTTTGTTCATTGTTAATAATTTATATTTTTAATATAATTAATATTTTTTTAATTACAAATTAAACTAGATAAATATTTAACTAATTAGATAAATTATTTAACTATTTAAATAACTAGATAAATTATTTTTAAAAAATTAGAAAAAAATTAAATAAAAATAAAAATTTATTTTTTTTTAAATATATTTGATAGAATCTTTTTATAATATTATTTATAAATCACATTTCTAATACACATATTTAATACAAAATGTAATAATTTTGATGAGTACAAAATATTGAGCTTTAAGCCATATTATTTTAAATCTATTAAATTTATGATTGCAGATATCCCCTGAAACAAAAAAATTATATATAAAATTATATATAAAATGTTATATTAATTTAGCAAAATATTTACGAAAGTGTTAATTATATATGTAACAAAAAAAGTTGAAATCAAAGTTTTTCTTAAAATGATTAAAGTCTGATCTTTTTTTTATTTTTCTTATATATATATTTATATTATATATGTATATTGCAAAAAGATATAAATAAGTCTCATTCAAATGCATAAAAAAGTAATTCTTCTATAAATTAACTTAATGTGTTACTTGATCTTTTATAAATTACAATATATAATATACATATAAAAATCTTACGGTAGTTTCATTCTCATAAAAACCCAACAGGTAATAAATGAAACAATAACACTAATAAATCCAACACATATTAAAAGAATTCTATTGAGCTTAGGTGTTGATGGATTATGTGTTTGATCTAATACTATAAAACCAATTCCACCTAAAGTAAAAAGGAAACTAGATGCCAATCCTTCCATAATATATTGACCATTTACTCGATATGGCATAAATGCTACCTAAAAAATAAATAAAATAACTTTTAAAAAATATTAATACAAAATTATCTCTAATTCATTTACTTACAGGTCTTGTATGGCCATGTTCATCTGTTGTTGAACCTACACTGGGTGGTTCCACAATTACATCATATATTATACCTTTAAAAAATTTATTATCAAAATATAAATAATATTTATTGCATTCTATTAAAAGAATTTAAAAAAATTGACTATCCTAACAAAACTTTAGATTATGAAATGTAATATATGATATATTCAATCAATTCAGAGGTTATAAAAGATATAAATAGAGATATAATATAATAGAGATGCATAAATTATAAAAATTATTTTGCAGAAAAGTGATTTTTTTTCAGAAATTTTACTTTAAATTTTTTTATAAATATTTTTTAAAATAGTATTCATATTTATAGTATTATAATTAATAGCAAAATAATAAAATAATATAATATATATTAAAATATAATCTGTCATATATCAATAGAAAAGAATATGAAAAAAAAAATTTTGACATATTATATTATAATTATATCAACACAGTCAATTTCTTTATGAATATTAGATTTGAATTGGATTAAATTTATTTTGTTTGCCATAAAAATCATCTAAAATTAATTTTTTTTTACGTTTTTCAAAGTAAATGATATTTGATTGATCTCTTTTTTTTTATTCTTTTTAATATATATACATTATCATTCAGATTCATGAGAAGATAGTTTTTTGATAAATTTATCAAAATTTGTTAAAATATTAATAAAATATTTATATAAATTAAATAAATATTTATAAATAAATATGATAAATATTTCTTCTATTAAATTTTGAAATAAATATAAACTAAGTGATTATTTTAATAACATTTTCATGAAAGCAAATTTTGATTAACTTTTTAATTTTTAAATATTTTTTAAAAAATTTTTCACAAAATAAATTTTATAATTTTGTCATTAAGATAAAAAAATTAATATATATCACATATATTTCATTTCCTAAAAGTTTGCTAAGAATGTTTCAAAAATTGGTGTTCTATTCAATTCTAACCTCCAGTTACTAGAAAATATGATAAAAGTATAAATGAAAAAACTATCATAGCACTAGGTTTCACAAACCATGATGGCTTCTTTAATTTTAAATTAGGTACTTCTAATGCTAAAAATGGTAAACGGTATATATATTCCATATTTAAATCAAAATTAAAATATTATATGCACTATAATCACTTCGCCTTTTAAAATAACATACTTCTACATTTATTAGGATATTTAATAGATGGCAGTTGTGATATTTTTTGTATTTTTTGTAAATTATTATTATTATTGCTTAAATTGAATTTATTTTAATAATTTGTTTTTTTATTTTAAAAATAAGATATAATAAGATAATAAGATAAAATGATAATCATATTTTTAAAAAAAGAAATTTTTAAATTTCTTTATTTTTATAGATTTCAATATACAGAATTCAAAAACAATAGTCTTAATTGTCAGAATTGGAATAATTCAAAAATTATTTGTATACAAATTTGTAAATTTTTTCAAATTTTTGTTGAGTTATGTTAGTTAATTATAATGTCATATTGAATTTATTTTTACTCAATCTAATTGGAGGATAGAAATACTAGCATGCGATAAATTCAAATTATTTTTCTTTGTTAAAGAATGCAAATATTATTTTTTATTTAATTTAAATGTTAATTACATATTAAATAAAGCTAATATTTTTGAAATCTATTTGTTAATGTTTATGAAATAATATAGAAAAGTCTAAAATTTTTAGTGCTTTAAAATAATCCAATAAAATTTAATCCAATATTTTTAGTATTTTTATATTTTTATTATTTTTAAATTATGTTTTACTATATATTATAATTTTAATTTAATTTCATAAATAAATAAGATCATATATATTAGTCAAAAAAATTCCGAGTAATTTTTCCATCTAATTCTATACACACGTGGCGGTACGAATAGATGACAGATTTATGTTACTTAACCTAATTGAAGTTGAACGAAATAATACTTTTGATTAATTTAAATTATTAATTCTATGAATTTAATAAATACTAAAAAATATTTTATTCGCAATACAATTTTATTTATAAATATAGTTTTAATATAAATATATATATCGTGACAAATAAAAGTATAATTACATTAGCTCATAAACTTACTTTATAGTATATAATTTTCATATTTAATCAATTTAAATCAATAACAAATAAATAATAATCATGCAAGAAAGTGCTTGTGTATCACCACGGGTTTTTACTGCAATACAAAATGTGGACATACCGGTTTTAGCTGTATGTTCTCATAAAGAAATACGACCAATTTTACCATGTTTAGTTCGAATGAGCCTTATATCTCCATTAGATGTAACAAAAGAATGTGTAGAACAAAGAAAACAGGTCTTGACAATATTATCTGGAATTGAATCAGTAAATTCAATAATTGCATTACTTTCAATTGATTTTCATGCATTAGAAACAGATGTTCGAAAAGAACAACAATTAAGGTTAGTTTTATTGTTGACATTTTTTTTCAGTATTGTTAAATATATCATAAATTATATAAAATATATTTATAAGAAAAATGTAATTTTTTTTTTAGACAAAAGATGGGAAGTTTACAAAGAGATAGTGTACTTACTCAGTCACTACAAAGTGGTCTTGCTTTGGAATTTGAACGCAGTGAGTCTACTAGAAGAATAAGATTAGTATTGAGTGAATTATTATATATAGCTTCTCAAGTACAAGAACAACAAAAAAATCAAGAATTTCAAATTAAGCAATCTGATTTATTTGATAATGCAGTATATATGGAAGAGATTAGTTATGTGATTTGTGTTGCTTTATCAGAATTACCAACAGTATTATCAATATTGGATATAACAGAAACATTATTACATGTTAAATATGGTCCAGAAATAATTTGTTGGATAGTTGCTAATATTCCTGATAGTTTTTCTGAAGTTTGTGCACATTTAATAGCTAATGGGGAAAGGCAAGAAGAATCAGCATTAGGCAGAATTAGAACAATGGCTTTGACAATGCTGTGTCAAATGAACCCAAGTCAAGCATTAGCAGTAAGAGCCAAGTGTGTAGAACTTTGTAGAATGCCTGCTTTAGCAATAACATTAAGTTTGGAACATGAAAATATAAATAATACATTAGCAGAAAGTGATATAGTTGCTTTTGTATCAGGATTATTACTTGGTAGTGATCAACAAGTAAGAACATGGATTGCAATGTTTATTAGAAATGGTCAAAAACGTAAATGGGAATCTCATACAGCATTACAATCTTTAAGAGAAGAATTACTTAAGCGATTACAAGCAATGACTT